AAATGGAGATTTCTTTCGGTGGTATTGGATCGCCTGTGTGTTTTTTATTTTTTGCGCTATAAATAAGAAAAGACCAACAATTTAAAAAAAAAAAAAAAACAATATTTTTTACTTTTGTAATAAACGTGTCCAGTAAAAAAATTTTAAAAATCAAATTTCATTATAAATTTAGGTCAAAATGTGTTCTGCTCCGTGTCTTTGCTAGAAAAAAAATCCCAATATATGGGAACGTTATAGCATCTACAAATGGCGGTATAGATACTGGGATTTTTTTCTACTAGTAATGGCGGCGATCGACAACTTATAGCAAGACTGCGGCGGGCATTCTGACACTGAGGGGAACTGACTTGGTGTCACTGACATCCCCACTGACACCAATACAGTGATTAGTGCTAATAAAAAGCACCGACACTGTACTAATGACACTGGGCAGGAAGGGGTTCATATCTGGGGAGATCAAAGGGTTAACTGTGTGTTGTTTTACAATGGCGGCTGTGTGTGTGTTTCACTGTAAGCATGCTGCTATGTAGAGCCATACAAAGCAGTGTGCAGGTGCTGACAGGGGAGAGATCTGTGTTGTTTATACACAGGTCTCTCCCTTGTAGGAGATACTCGGCGATCACTGGGTGCCGGAAAATAACCACTGGCTGGGACCCAGTGATTGACAGTAATTGAGGCCACGAATGGCCGCACACGCGAACCCTGTAGCAGTATATATACATGATTTTGTGTACCCGTGCCGCCCTGTAGCAGTATTTCTCTTATAGGGCGCCGTGGAACTGGTTAAGTTACATATAAATACTGTATAAACCCACGAGCAGTTAAATAAAACTGGAATATCAACTCAATATAGAAAAAAGGGGTAAAAACAAACAGCCAGTTATAGACTGGGGCAGTGGCCATTTTTTGTACTGTTGAATTGTTGGTGAGGGAGTGCTGGACACCATAGCTGCCATTGTGCTGCATGCTGGGTGCCCAGTGCGCTCCTGTACCTTTAAGAAGGGGTGGGCTCCCTCAGGTCCACCTGCCCTCGGTCTATCCATTAAATACATGTGCCTCTACTATGGGGGCTCTCAAAATTTGTAGAGTTAGGACTACAGAATATCGGGGTGCTATGACGAGGCTCTGTAGCTTACACATGTGTTTGCAAATGTGTGCTAACTGAACCCACGTTTTTAACGCATACTGTTAGACGGGTTTGTTTGCAGGCTGGTTGGTAAGTTGAGCCGGGAACTTTTCTCTTTTGTTGTTTGACATGCGTCGCCCTTCCATGTGCTCCTGGCTGTGAAGGCCAGTTATAGACGGGGGCAGTGGCCATTGTTTGTAGTGTAAAAACAAAAATCCGCCCACACCTTCACATACTCATATAAAAGTGCTACACAACAACAACCACATAATAACAGTGCCACGCTTTTCTCATACCACAATGAAATGTGACTTCAAATAAGATTCCCAATATCACTGAACTGGTGAAAAAATACTACAAATAATATGCCAAAATCTGGTGAAATAGGTCCGTCATTCCTTATTCATAATCCTTCCAAATAAAAATCTTTTCCATCAATATTCCTCATCTTCTTTCTTCATATACAGTGCACCTCCACCATCAGTGACACCAGCTGTGTCCTTATCTGAAATTTTTGACCTCACAACTAAGGTTGGTCAAAAATTACTTGTGTCCTCTAGGTGGACATATAGTGAGGGGTACTATGTACCCCCACTCATTCACAGGGGGGGGGGGAGCAGCATCTGGGGGCCCCCTTGTTAAAGAAAAACAATAAAAAAAATAAACAGGGATACATTTTTCTGTTTCTATCGGAATGCCTGGTTGGACTGTGAATGGGAGGATGAGAGGCACTGCTGAAGTAGGGGGTAGTCTCTGGGACACTGGCATTTGGTGCTGGTCTGTTGCAGTTCTGTAGGATGTTCAGTATGCCTGACTCTTAGTAGGGAATCATAGGTGGCCATCGCTGAACTGCTGATTCTGACAGGTTCATATTCTGAATCCGAATCTTAGAGTTCCTTCATGCTACCCCCATCTGTCATGCTCAGAATTTGAAAGACATCCTCACTTGTGTACTTTTTTTGGGACATGTTTGGCAGTGGTTGGCACTGATGACACTGGTTCTGGCTAGCAATCAGGTTACTGACAGTCAGGCTCTGGTGACATTGTAATGGTGTGACAATGATCTGTTGCTGGTTGGATTGGCTCTGCTGCTGGACTCTGATGCTGGTCTGGCAACACTGTGACTGGTGTGGTGGTAAGGAATACTCCTGCTGGCTGAGCTTGTCCGGTGACCCCTGAACTGGTGTGGCAGAGTTAAAAACACTGTTGGCTGGCTGTCAGGGATTCACCCCGTCACGCGTCCCCTACATGCCACGCCCACAGCGACTAGCTAACCGAGGCACGCACGTGGGGCGGCGACAGGGTGGTAAAGAGGGGGAATAAAGGGGCTTTACACTTGAATATCTAAAACCGTATATAAGATCAGCCGTGATACCTTTTCACAGCCCGCACTACCTCTGGCCACCACCAGATGGAGACCCCACTCCAATCCAGCTGGTTGACCGCACACTGGCAGATACGATCTTAGATACAACCTGGTGCCCTGATTAGAGTTGAGGACCAGCTTAGTAATCACACACCCTTCTAAGGTCCCTTCAGCTATCCTAGCTTGGACCCCGGTGTTGATAACCCTTCCACTGTCACACCCCCAACACCAGACGCACCACAAAGGTAGCCTGCCTGTTAGGGATCCAGGTATGACCAGAAATGTGTGGACTGACACAGGGAAACGCAGACTTCAGGTATAGTGTGAATAAGACAATTTATTAAGACTAAACAAAACATAAACGCAGTGCAAGACTAAACAACAACACAGTGCAAACCAACCAACCCAAACCTCCAACAGATAACAATAGAAACAATACTAAGTGTAGTCGGGCAGGCCAGGTCAGTAGCAAACGGGCAGGCAAGGTACAAGGAGCAGGCGGAAGAGTAGTCAGGAATAGCCGAGGTCAGGACAGGCAGAGTCAAGGATCGAAGCAGAATCTGGATCAGGCAGGAAGCAGACAGGATGCAGGTACAGGGGCCATGGGAAACATACACCAAGGCCAGATCACAGGCCTGGCCATTCCTTAAATACACCTGTTGTAATCAGCTTCAGGTGATGGCTCATTGCAGGAGTGAGCCTCTGGTTGCTGAGAGCACCCGCTGGCCAGCCCTGGTACTGCAGCCCACAAGACAGGTGAGTTCCACCACCACTAGCAAGTCCATTCCTGACAGTACCCCCCCCCCCTCAAGGAGCGGCCTCAGGACGCTCCAAACAGTCCGTAATGGCCCAAATGTTCCACTGCCTGGGTCCGGCAACTGGCTGGACATCCCACTGCCGGAATCAAGCGATTGGCTGGGTGTCCTGCTGATAGGCCTATCTTTTTGTAGGAGACTGCAGGAAGGCAGATTGCTGGACACAGGATTTCCAGAAGCAGGCTGGGCATCAGGAGCTGGTACGTCAGGCTGGGCAGCAGGCAGAGTCACGTCAGGCTGGGCAGCAGGCAGAGGCACGTCAGGCTGGGCAGCAGGCAGAGGCACGTCAGGCTGGGCAGCAGGCAGAGGCACGTCAGGCGGGACAGCAGGCAGAGGCACGTCAGGTGGGACAGCAGGCAGAGGCACGTCAGGCAGGACAGCAGGCAGAGGCACGTCAGGCGGGACAGCAGGCAGAGGCACGGCAGGCTGGGCAGCAGGCAGAGGCACAGCAGGCTGGGCAGCAGGAAGAGGCACGTCAGGCTGGGCAGCAGGCAAGGCAGCGGGCACCGGGCCATCAGGCGGAGCAGCAGGCAAAGCAGTGGGCACCGGGCCATCAGGCGGGAGCAGCGGGCACCGGGCCATCAGGCGGAGCAGCAGGCACCGGGCCATCAGGCGGAGCAGCAGGCACCGGGCCATCAGGTGGAGCAGCAGGCAAGGCAGCGGGCACCGGGCCATCAGGCGGAGCAGCGGGCACAGGGCCATCAGGCGGAGCAGCGGGCACCAGGCCATCAGGCGGAGCAGCGGGCACCGGGCCATCAGGCAGAGCAGCGGGCACCGGGCCATCAGGCGGAGCAGCGGGCACCGGGCCATCAGGCGGAGCAGCGGGCAAGGCAGCGGGCACCGGGCCATCAGGCGGGAGCAGCGGGTACCGGGCCATCAGGCGGAGCAGCGGGCACTGGGTCATCAGGCGGAGCAGCAGGCAAGGCAGCGGGCACCAGGCCATCAGACGGAGCAGCGGGTACCAGGCCATCAGGCGGAGCAGCGGGCACCGGGCCATCAGGCAGAGCAGCAGGCAAGGCAGCGGGCACCGGGCCATCAGGCGAAGCAGCGGGTACCGGGCCATCAGGCGGAGCAGCGGGCACCGGGCCATCAGGCGGAGCAGCGGGCACCGGGCCATCAGGCGGAGCAGCAGGCAAGGCAGCGGGCCATCAGGCGGAGCAGCGGGTACCGGGCCATCAGGCGGAGCAGCAGGTACTGGGCCATCAGGCGGAGCAGCGGGCACCGGGCCATCAGGCGGAGCAGCAGGCAGCGGGGTACCGGGCCATCAGGCGGAGCAGCGGGCACCGGGCCATATAGGCGGAGCAGCGTGCACCGAGTCATCTGGCAGAACCGCGGGCACTGGATCACCAAGCTCGACAGCAGGCACCGAGTCATCTGGCAGGACAGCGGGTACCGAGTTATCTGGCAGAACCGCGGGCACTGGGTCACCAGGCGGAGCAGCGGGCACCGGGCCATCAGGTGGAGCAGTGGGTACCGGGCATCAGGCGGAGCAGCGGGCACCGAGTCCTCTGGCAGAACTGCGGGCACTGGGTCGCCAGGCGGAGCAGCAGGCACCGGGCCATCAGGCGGAGCAGCAGGCACCGGGCCATCAGGCGGAGTAGCAGACAAGGCAGCGGGTACCGGGCCATCAGGCGGAGCAGCGGGCACCGGGCTATCTGGCAGAACCGTGGGCACTGGGTCACCAAGCTCGACAGCGGGCACCGAGTCATCTGGCAGGACAGCGGGTACCGAGTCATCTGGCAGAACCGCGGGCACTGGGTCACCAGGTGGAGCAGCGGGCACCGGGCCATCAGGCGGAGCAGCGGGCATCGGGCCATCAGGCGGAGCAGCAGACAAGGCAGCGGGTACTGGGCCATCAGGTGGAGCAGCGGGCACCGGGCTATCTGGCAGAACCGCGGGCACTGGGTCACCAAGCTCGACAGCGGGCACCAAGTCATCTGGCAGGACAGCGGGTACCGAGTCATCTGGCAGAACCGCGGGCACTGGGTCACCAAGCTCGACAGCGGGCACTGAGTCATCTGGCATGACAGCGGGTACAGAGTAATCTGGCACGACAGTGGGCATTGAGCCATCTAGCAGAACCGCGGACACTGGGTCATCAGGCATTGGATCATCTGGCTTGACAGCAGCGTCGGGTCATCTGGCATCAGGTCATCTGGCTCGATAGCGGGTACCGGGTCATCTGGCATTGGATCGTCTCGCTCGACAGCGGGCACCGAGTCATCTGGCATAATAGGACCATCAGGCTGGGTAGACACATCAAGCTGGGTAGGGTACACTGGGTCATCGGGCATCAGGCTGAACCACGAAAGGCGGGTTCTCAGACGGCAGGCTGACCGGTTTAGATACTGGCAGGATGGTACTGGTTGGAAAGAATTTTCGCTTTTTTTTTCCTGGTTTTAGTTACTGGAGCACAGGAAGTAAGCGCAGGTTTGTAAGTGGATAGAGCAGCTGTAGGCAGAGAAGAGCTGGAGGATGGAACAAAGGAGGGAGCAGTTGCTACAGAGGACTTCTTTACAGGGTTAAAGGCAGGATAGGTGCAGCGAGTGGGAGCAGGGGACTGATATGTGGTAGTTAGCAGAGTATACTGGGCCGTCACTGGGGGTGCTGTCGGGGATGCAGGAACAGTGCCTTGAGCAGAGGAATGACGTTGCAAGCTAAATGAGGCTGGGTGCAACAAGTCTGACCATGTCTGCAGTATGGGTTGAACAAAGCTCAGCTTACACAAAGCCTGTCTGGTCAAAGACTGCACTGCATTTATACAATCTCTTAGCACCTGTTGTGAACATGCAGAATAACGCTCCAAGAAGTAATCCACATCATCCTCCACTAACCACACCAGGGACTCTACCTGGTCGGCACTAAATGGCGGCAAAAAATTCATCCTTGCATTCGGGGGTACCAGATGAAGCCAACTCTGCACAAACCTGAATCAATGGTTGCACCTCAGAGAATTCTGTGCCCTGATCTACTAGACAATGAGCGATCCTTATGCATTCTAGTAGTTGATCCCGGGTATACTCCCTCAGAGTCTGATAAGCATAATCTCTGTCATCAAACACTAGCAGAGACAAAATATATCACCCCATCAAGATGCATCCTTCCCAACAACAATAAGCCAAGATGGCTTCCCTTTGCAGCCACTTCTGGTCAGGAATGGCCTTGGTGTTCTGTTAGGGATCCGGGTATGACCAGAAATGTGTGGACTGACACAGGGAAACGCAGACTTCAGGTATAGTGTGAATAAGACAATTTATTAAGACTAAACAAAACATAAACGCAGTGCAAGACTAAACAACAACACAGTGCAAACCAACCAACCCAAACCTCCAACAGATAACAATAGAAACAATACTAAGCGTAGTCGGGCAGGCCGGGTCGGTAGCAAATGGGCAGGCAGGGCACAAGGAGCAGGCGGAAGAGTAGTCAGGAATAGCCGAGGTCAGGACAGGCGGAGTTCATGCAGAGTCAGGGATCGAAGCAGAATCTGGATCAGGCAGGAAGCAGACAGGATGCAGGTACAGGGGCCCATGGGAAACATACACCAAGGCCCTGATCACAGGCCTGGCCATTCCTTAAATACACCTGTTGTAATCAGCTTCAGGTGATGGCTCATTGCAGGAGAGTGCCTCTGGTTGCTGAGAGCACCCGCTGGCCAGCCCTGGTACTGCAGCCCACAAGGCAAGTGAGTTCCACCACCACTGGCAAGTCCATTCCTGACACTGCCACCACCCAACAGTTTATCCGCAGAACGGTCTGTTGAGACACCACACACACACAGATCTCCGTCTGGCAGATCTGTTACCTTTGAAATCTGCGTGCAATCTGCCCACACACAGAGCAATTGCATACAGATTGGCAATGAGCTTAACCGAGCGTTTTAAAGACACTAAAATACAATACAATCTAATACAATCTAATCTCTCTGATCTAATCTCTCCCAAGATATGAGCACGTGCTTAAATACAGTTAATACAGTGCTTAAATTCACTAATTAATTTTAAGATTTAATTTCCCAAAGTGGGCAGTGCATAAAATATGTACAAAATATAAAAAGTTACAGAAAATACAAAAGATGTAAGAAGACACACAAATGACTAATTACTATAAAATAAAAAGGGAATAAAAAGACAGAATAACACTTTACCCTGCGGCTGGAGCAAGCCAGAAACTTAGCAATCCATTGGTCAATCGAACCAGCTCCGTACAGATCACAAATGTCCAAATGTCCGTGCGCTCAATTTATTGGGATTTGGACATGGGCGGGACATTAGTCCAAGGCCAACCGACCATGGGGCTGATGACCAGCCCAAGTCCAATTGGGCCAAAACGGGCCTGAACACCAAGTCGGTGATTGGATTTCTGACACCAGCGCGTCAGCTCGATCGCAACAGTACCAAACACCATCAGACTGTCGCACCCCCGCGTCATCTAACCATGCCATGCATTTCCCTGGCTTCCTCCCCAAGCCACAAAAATGATTTTCATATGCAAATGTAGCGTACAGAATGGCCTACAAGAAGGGAGTATGTTCATATCTCTGCAACTAATATTTCAGCTTTTATGAGAGATGAAAGGTCCATCTTTGATGTATGATGTACTTATAGAGCTTTCCTCATAAGGCAGACAGTCGGTCTGCTGTCCTTCACTCCAAACCTGTTTTCCCAGAAAGTGATAACTTGATTGACACACAAAAGGTGTGACATCCAGGAGGCGGGGCTTTTGACTAATTAAGGCTAATTGATGCTAAATGATGATTGAGTCTGTAAGGCCTATTGAGACATTGTGTATACATACACATCTGTATCCCAGATCCATTGATGACCCCTTGTTTGTACCATCTATTCATTTCCCTACTGCCCAGGGGCTCAATATACATCCTTAATGACCAGACTGTTCCTGAAACACACCTTTGCAATGAAAGGACCTGACATAATCTAATCTACTCAACCTGTTATGGCTATGATACCATATTTCCACTCAAATCTTACACGTCCCTTACAATAAATTTTACATGTCCATTACACTGGCTCATACTGGTCTGGTGACACTGTGGCTAGTGATTAGCAGTGCTGTTGCTGGCTGGGTTGGTGACACCTACACTGGTGTGATGGTAATTAGAAATACTATCATTGTTTCTGGTGTACACTGGTCTGGCATCACTGACACTGGTCTGGCATCACTGACACTGGTTTGGCATCACTGACACTGGTCTGGCGATGATCAGAAATACTGTTGCTGGCATACACTGGTCTGGCAACACTGTTACTGATGTAGCTAATGAGTCCGACTCGAACATCTAGCCCATCTTTAGCTGACTGCACTCATTTAGGGACACTGGGACTGGTGTGGGCAGTGATCAGGGACACTGTATGTGGCACTGCGTTACACTGTAATACACTGACAAACTCACTGATAGTAGAAAGAGATCAGTCTCCCTCTCCCAAGTACTTTGTCTCTGGAAGAAAACAGAGCTGATGACTGCAACCTGCAGACTTTGTTTACTTTTACGATCGCTGTAATTGGTCACAGTAAACACATGGTACAGGGCCACTTTCACTTGTCAAAGACTATCTCCTGTCTTTTTTTTTAACAACACTTTTTTTTTTGCGATGTACATATACCGCATACTCATTCGCATGGGGGAGGGGATCTGGGGGCCCCCTTGTTAAAGAGGGCTTCCAGATTATTCTGATAAGCCCCCCAGAGGGTTGTGGGGAAGAAGCCCTTGTCCCCATCAACACTGCCCAAAAGCATGCCCCCCCATGTTGAGGGTAGGTGGCCTGGTACTGCTTAGGAAGGGGGGGGGTGCTTGCTCATGCCCCCCCCCTTTCCTGACCTGCCAAGCTGCATGCTGGGATAAGAGTCTAGTATGTATTTTGGTGGGGGACCCCCACACCATTAAAAAAAAAAATGTTGTGGGGGGTTCCCCTCAAAGTCTATTCCAGACCCAAAGGGCTTGGTATGGATGGGAGGGGGGGCTTCCATGCCGTTTTAAAAGAAAATGTTTTAATTCTCCGGCAATGCTGACAATTCTTTTGACATCAAGCTGTGAGCGGGGAACCCCACTGACAGCGGAAACATGAATGAATGTCTCACTACTAAAA